TTTTTTTTGGGGGGGGGGTCGATGTTGATCCTAAATGAAACGTAAGCCCTAAACCATGAAACCTTACCCCTAAACTCCCTCTCCAAGATGCCCAACAATGAACCTACTATTGTTGTTATTATTGTTGCTATTGTTATTTCTATTATTAGAACTGTTATCATTATTATTGCGCGCATTGTCATTATTCTTGTAAGATCAATAATAGTAATTGCCATTGTTATTCGTATGAGCATTACGGAAGGTGAACATCGGTAGCTCTATCGGTAGCCTCAGCACCGCATTTTGGCCTGCCCTCGATCTGGAGCCTGCCTCAGGCAAAACGTGCATTTTCCCAGTACTTCGATCATTATGATCACTGCTCTCAGTATCACGGTCCATGATCATCATCCTAAATACTTCTAATGTAGCCAAAGCGACACCCGAGGTGCCCGCGCTTACCGGTCCGGACGACCCTCGGTGGCAGGGCGCTGGAACCCTGGTGGAGGATGTAGAAGCTGATGTCATATTTCCACATGAGGTTGCTGTGCTTGTGTGATTGCATTCGAAGGTGGTGCATGTGACGCTTGGGACACTACTACAAATATGGACCGGGTTCGATTACTACCATGATTTTCTTCATTCACGTTGCAATTGTTAAATATAGTGGCTCTATCCCATTGTTACCTTGATCTATTCTTCTATGCCGTCCGCCATTTCTGCTTGACGACTGTTGACTCGCTCATAGAGCCTCAGTCAGCACAGACGGACGTTGCATCTCTGCCTAAACCCTAAACCCTAAACCTGCAGTTCCCTCCGATTCCGGCCCGACTTGGGCCCGACTTGTTACTCAGTCGCTCCTCAAGATCGTGATTTGGTTGTTGCATGAGCAGGGGAAGTGGGTTGATGTTACCACAGGCTAGACAGACCCTAAACCATAAACCCTAAATACCCTAAAACCCTAAAGCCCTAAAGCCCTAAAGCCCTAAAGCCCTAAAGTCCTAAAGCCCTAAAGCCCTCAGACCATCAAACCACAAACCCTAAGACCCTGAAGCCCTAAAGCCCTAAAGCCCTCAACCCTGAAACCCCAAACCGTACAACCCCCTGTTTTCCCCTAAACTAAACCCTAAACCCTAAACCCTAAACCCTGAAACCCCAAACCGCACAACCCCCTGTTTTCGGGCAGAAATCCTGGCAGGAGCGCTTTCGAGGGGAGCAGCTCCTTGAGCAAGGTCCGGCGGGAGAGAGAGAGCAAGGGGTTTAGGGTTTAGGGGTTTGGGGGTTGAGGGTTTAGGGTTTAGGGTGTAGCGTTTAGGGTTTAGGGGTTTGGGGGTTTAGGGGCTTGGGGGTTTTAGGGTTTTAGGGTTTTAGGGGTTTAGGGTTTAGGGGTTTAATTGTTTAGGGGTTTAGGGGTTCAGGGGTTTAGGGTGTTCTTTAACGATTCTTTGACAGGGTTTGTATCTGTGTATCGGGTTTCTATGGCTTTTTGGACAGAGTCCTTGAGGCTCGCGGGTTCCTACTGGGTTTAAATATTAAGGTTGCAGTTGAGGGCTCCGAGTACTGGGTTTCACCCTTTTCAGGGTTCAGGGTTCAGGGTTCAGGGTGTAGGGATTGGGTAGTTAGGGTTTAGGGTTCAGGGCTTGGTTTAGGGTGCAGTGTAGGGTTCAGCAGGATCAGAGCTGTCGGGGGTGTGTTCAAGTTCAAGCCTTCAGGTTCGGGGATTTTAGTATCAAGGGTGCTCTCATCATGGGTTTCCCACAGAAGTCCTCTTAAGCACGTTTCAGATGATCAGATCCCGGGTTTATGTTGGAAAGTTTCGGTTGTCCTTCCCATGTCATGCTAGCGACGTCCGGTTCACTTGCTTAAATCGTTTTTTGCGTGTAGTTGTAACGGTCGGAGGTTCAAACCACTCACAGGATCGCGATGTCAAGGTTGCATCAAGTCAGACTGAGCATATCTATGAGCTGTTGACTTACGCCCTCTGAACGGCAAGGCCTCTGAGTATGACAGGGCTGAATGTTTTTGAGGGGGGGGGGTGGGGGTCGTGGTTTAGGGTCTTGAGAACGCTGTTGTGAACATGGATATGGGTTAGGCTTGTTCCACACTAGGATCCCCTTCAGAGGTGTTCATCGCTAGAATCCGTAGAAACGGATGACAGCCCTTCCCAATGTATGCGCATGCTGTGGATCCACTCCTCGCTTCTTCACCTGGGCTTGGGGTTGTGGAGCACCTACAAGGACTAAATCATGGTTGAAATCCTAAGTCGTAGTGTTCCGAAACCCCATATACCGATACGCCTTCGGCCCTTCAATCCGGAGCCCGAAACTCTATTAGGTCCGAACAGCACCCAATGCTCAGATTTCGTGGGCCGTAACGCTAGGAGCTTCAGGGGATTGGCGGTTTGGTGGTTTGCGGGGTTAGGTTTTTGGGTTCCGGCTTTAAGGCGCGCCCTGCGAGGGAGATTTCAGAGTCCCAGCAGCCGTGAAGTCTGCTTGCAGGGATTCTATACCTGGACCCCAAAGTATGTAGAATAATAGCCTTTTGTGGGTTTTAGGCCATTATTTTGCCTACTTTGGGGGGTTTAGGTACTAGTTGTCGTAGACCTAGTTTAAGCAAGCCCTGCATCCAAATTCCTACATAACCCCACCTTCACAGCCATTCCTGATACTTGCGCCAGCAAACCTGGTAGTAGGCGCTTCATTCAAAAACTCAAGCCCCCAAGCCGAAGCACTAAACCCTAAGCCCAAGCCCAGACCCTTGTAAGAGAGGGGCCTAGATAATTCCCTATACTACTTTGGGGGGTTCCGTATTCTATAATTGTAGGATAATATCCCCCAAAACCCTGTTGCCCCTGTATTGGTGGGCTTTCTAAGCAGAGGCTACGAGGCCGCTGCATTGGCACGATTACGCCGCGCCTGCACCCGAGATTGTCGGACATACATGCGGTTTAGTGTTTAGGGTTTTAAATTAGGGTCTCTTTCCGTGTTCGTTACCCTATTTCGAGAACCGCCTTATCTTCTGTTCTGCGATTTAAAAACCCTAGCAGTTTAATGAGCTGAGCCTCTAAACGCTGGATTCGGATTATGGACTTAACTCTAAAGCCTTAACCCCAAAGCCGAACCCGCAAGGAGAAACTGAAGCTTGACTTCACGTCCCATGCTTGCTCAATATATGAGAGACTCCGAGAAGATTGCTGCTAAATTTGCCGTGTCCACGAATCGAACCGTGGCTTCGTCTTTTGAGTTCCTATCTTTTGGTCGAGAAGAAGTTCTTGAAACTCTAAGGCCCTAAGCCCGAAGGAATGCCCATGTAAAGGTTTGCGTTTCTGAAGTGTGAGAAGTATTATATTGAAACCTCGGCTGTGGATATACCATCTGAGGTCGTCGAGTGGTCTCAGCGAGTTTCCGAGGATCAGGCACCGAGCATTTCTCCAGCTTTTCGATCACGTGGCCGGGCTTTCGAAGTTGCAGGTTTTTTGAGGGCTCTCGGATGTAAAGTCTTGCAATCTGGCTCGGGTGCCATGGTTGATGGTTCCCTAAAGCCCGAGGCCTCACCATGAAAAGCCTGCGAGTCTCGAATCTCTGGAACTTCAATCTGAAAACCGTACCGACTCATGAAGCCTAAACCCTAAACCCTAAACCCCGGGGCAGCAATCCCGGAGTCTCTAGTGGAAGTACCGCAAGGCTTCCACACTTCGGGACGTGGCGGCCGCCAAAGCCTCCATAGGCCAAGACGCTTGGGACACCCAGAGACTCCAATACCCCTTAATTAATTAAGGAATATACCTTCAATTATAATATTAAGGCCCCTATCATTTAAGGTATATTGCTGAATTAAGGAATATACCTTAAATTCTAATAGGATCCCTAATATGATTGAAGGTATATTCCTTAATTCAGGGGTATTGCAGTCTCTGGGCAGAGTGCCACCGCAGCGACAGCTATGGTGCTGAAGGCTATTGTGGTTGAAGCAGAACCCTAAACCCTAAACCCTAAAGTAGCAGTCGTCCTTGTCCTCGACCTCGTCCAGGTTGAACCATGAAAGCCTAAACCCTAAACCCTAAACCCTACACCCTAAACACTAAACCCTAAACCCCTAATGAAAGCTAAAGCTTCAAATTTCCAAAGTTCGTGCCGAAGGCTGGACCCTCGCCTCGCGGGCAGCACCCATCTTGGACTCCGGCAGCGCCTGGAAGCCCGGTAACCAAAATAAGGGGTACCTTATTTTGGGGTCCTTATAATAAGGATCCTACTATTTAGGGTACTATATTAGGGTCCCCGGATCGAGGTCAAGATGTACAGTTGAGTGCGTCCGCGTTTCGAGTTTGGGAGTGCATGCAGGGCTCCTTTAAAGAGTTTTCCAGTTCCGGGATGTGAAATTCCGGGGTGTAGAGGCGGTGCTGGATTCAAAATTTAGGGTTTCGCATTCAGGCGTGCATGGCTCTAGTGGTTTCACTTCGTCGGGAGTCCTTGTTCGTTTGTGGCGAGTGTGTGATCATGTTGTTGTACCAACATAGACCCCCAAACCCTAAACCCTAAACCTTAAACCCTACAAGCAGGGCCTGTGAAGTTCAGACAGAGCTTGGAAGCCAGGTTCCTGGTTGCAGAGAATCGGAGGTATGCTTCGGAAGCCAGACGTGAACCGAGCAGTTACCCTGTGGATTCAAAGAAGGGGCACCGTGGCTGCCGACGCATTCCGTTCGGAGTATCTTTGGAGTTGGATGTGGCCATGGCCTGAGAGTCGAAACTAGGCTTTGTCGTTCATGTCCCAACTACCTCGTCTGCAAGCGCACTCCGAGGCGCAACGGCTTCTGTTGCTTTGCAGGGCAATCCTTTCGGGCAGTGACAGGCAGTGCCTCTTGAGGCCCTGCAAGCCAGGAGATCTGGCTTTCAACGGCTTCAGTGCTAGGCGTAAGTATAACCCTAGTCCCCTAAACCCTACACTACAACCTAAACCCTAATCCCCTAAACCCTATATACAACCGAAACCCTAAAAATTATAAGTAAGATCCCTCCCTCCAACCCCTCAACCCGAAACCCCGCACTCTCCAACGCCTGGAGTCGCACTCCTCAGACCTCGAGCTCTTGGACGCGCCTGAAACCCCTAAGCCCTAAACCTAAATCCTAAGCCTTAAACCCTAAACCGTGAACCCTGAGCCCTAAACCCTAAACCCCAAACCCTAAGCTCCTAAATCCTAAACCCTGAACCCAGAACCCCGAACCCCGAACCCAAAGCTCCTAAACCCAAAGCCCTAAACTCCTGAACCCTAAGCCCCAAACCCTGAACCCGAAACCCTGAACCCTAAACCCTGAACCCTGAACCCTAAACTCTAAACTCCTGAACCCTAAGCCCTAAACCCTGAACCAGTCTCAGGTCTCTTCCGAGGTCCTGAAGTCCGCTCGAAAAGATCTAGCCGAAGCGGAGGTTCGTGCTGTGTCTGGGTGGGTTGGTGTTGGTCAGGGTTCAGGGTTTGGGATTTAGGGTTTGGGAGCTTTGGGTTTGGGGTTCAGGGTTGCGAGTACGACAGGCTGGAGTGGCGTTATGGGTTTAGGGTTTGGGGTTCATTTCGGGTTTAGGGTTCATATAGGGTGGCTTTACTCATGTTTGAAGGGACGGCTAGTACTAAGCCTGCTAGTGAAAGTGGTACCTGAGATGCACGCTCAAAATAGCCGCAACGTTTTGCATCTCAACCATTCAGAGAGCTGTGAATGCAATCAACTAGCATGGAATACGGATCCCATGCGATAGCAATCAGCTCTGAATTTTCACCAGTTGCTGAAAAAGCGGTCATGGCCAACAGAACAGATAGAACACACATTCACCACCAGGATCATCATGGCGAATCATGACCATCATGAAATTAAGGATCCTTATGGTTGTTTTGGTTAGTATCCCCAGCACTATCCCTAGTGCCTAGCACAGCAGCTGACGGACGGGGTGTGTCTGCCCGCGAGCTGGAGTCCATTCTCAAGCCATCTTTAGTTCTACCCTCGCAACCCGCGTATGGGGTTTGAGGGTTTGGGAATGTAGGGTTAAAAAGTTGAGGCTTCAAGAGTCTAGGGTTCAGGGTTCACTGTGCCTGCTTGAGGAAAGGTGTTGTCCTCTTTGGCGAAAGCTAGCATTTTCCGAATTGGGTCCCTTTTCAGCTATCAGGTCATCCATGAAACACCATGAGCGCAGCCGTGGGTTGAGCTGAGTGCGCAAGCTGATAACTCCCCGATCCCCTAAACCCTAAACCCTAAACCCCTCTGTGACAGGAGCTTTGTGACTGGCTGGAGCAGAATGCCGGCCAGAATGCAGGCGCCGGTAAGTCTAACAGCACGTAGGGCCAGGGCCGGTAGCTAACACTGTCCGTATGCACTGATGGACTACCTAAACCCTAAACCCTAAACCCTAAACCCTAAACCCTAAACCCTAAACCCTAAACCCTAAACCCTACCTCTTTCAGACTTCACGTTTGCTCTCTCTCTCTCTCTCTCTTTCTCTCCATCCCTCCCTGTCTCTCTCTGCCCGACAGCACGGCGGGTTACAGGACCCACAAGAGTGGAGTCGCCAAAAGGGGTTTAGGAGTTGGAGATTTTGCCAGAACTTACAGAACTTGCCGGCTCTGGCTTCAGGATGTTTCAGGGTTTGAGGCTGAAGGTTTGCTATGGGTTTTTTGAGGATGCGGCTGGGACATTGGATTAAGCACACGAGACCCTTCGGGGCTCTTTGGATGTCAGGGTGCAGGGTTCAGAGCGACACCTCCTCGAACGAAGGCCCTAAGCCCGAAACCGCAGAGAGGGCCGAATTCTGAAAATGAAGTCCGAAGCCCCAAAAAGAGGGCCAGAACTGAGGGACACAGTCATACTTTACCAATGTAGTTGTCGCGTCCGTGGTGGAAGTCTACTCCCGATCTGATTCCGACCTCTCTCGAGTGCAGATCACAGGTACCAAGCTCTTACGGGCCAAGATCCTCGTTGCCAACGACGACGACTTTGCCGGAGTTGGGTTCTCACGGCTTAGGGCTTTGGGGGTTATTTTGATGTATGCCCTGCGATAGCCGCGTGTGGGGCTTCTTCGGATGGCGCCTTCTTTTGAAGATACTTACCTCAAAGTACGCTGCTCACAAAAAGGTTCAGGGGACCTGATTAGGGAGCAGCCCTGGTGCTTGCATCCAATTTCGGAATGCTAGCAACCAAACTTTGTTCATTCTCTTGCAATTACCCTTGCTCTTGCTGGTGTGATTGTCACCGCGGTGCAGGCTTTTGCTCCCAGGATCTAGAGCCGGTTGCCCTGGCGCCATCTTCCCCATTCAATGCGGCTGATTGCTTTCGTTGCGTTCTCAGCTGCATGGCGCCTCGCTGCATCGACAGGCTCCGGAAACATGAACGGAAAGTTCCTGAGCTATGAATAATCGGCATGGTGCGAAGGGCTTTTTGATTTCGGTTTAGCTCTTGGAGAAAATGGTCGATGGCGCCAGCTGCAGAATCACCGTTACCCTAAACCCTAAACCCTAAACCCTTGTCGCCCGAGGTATCGCGTGGCTAGTGGAGCCCGCCAGGATGTCGGGTTCAACGACGACTATGCCTCCAAGGGCCATGAGTATTTCGATGTGTGGGCTCCCGAAATAGCGACGCACTATGGAAGCTTTGGCGTATGATCTGAAGAAGCTTGATGTTTGGTATAAGGTGGGTTGCCGGCACAGTAAGTTGTAGCAAGAGCTTCCTGTCCGACCAAGCTAGCACTAGTCTTGGCACTGATCAGTTTTACGGGCATCCTTAAATCAAGGATACCAAGAACAGAAAGATAGGTCCGGGTTTTTCGGTTAAAGATAGTCTGTGCTATTGCCCCGGCAGCAGCACTAGTCTACAGACGCAAAGCAGACATGGACGCAGACATGGACACAGACAGACGCATCTGCAGAGAGACTCGCACAGAGACATGCGCAGTGCCCAAAACCTCGTGCCGACACTTCAGGAGAGGTTTTCTGGACGGATCAGGGGAACCAGCCGCTTCCCACCGAGATCGTGAAGCGCTTCAAGGGCAAGGTTCTGGCCATCACTGGATACGAGATGGACCAGGCTTCTGGTTGCTTCGGGGCTCGCATTGTGTATGTAATATAGAAGCCGCAATAATTACCAAAAATTATAATATTTTGGGGGTTCCTTATCAGAAATATAGTATAACGGGCCCCTGAAACCCTATTCTCGTTTTTATGGCCCCTATATTACAGTGCTACAGTTGATGAATTCGATGGATGGGCTATTTCCCCGCGTGCAGTCATCTCACGCGTAGGGACGCTGGGGACAATTCCAGGGCGAAAGAGGGGTGCAGTCTTTGCAACGGCATAGTCGCGCGAGCACTGTTTCAAAGTTTCACCCTGAAGTTCTATTGCCGGTACAAGTCCTAGTGGTCTGAGTGTGACGAATATAGTACCGACCAGCACCACCGCTGCCGCCGATGACGACGACGACGACTGATCCAGGCTTCCAGACCAGAGCTTGAACCTTTACTGAAGCCCACACCACAATCCCCAAACCCTGGACCCCAAACCCTGAACCCCAAGCAAACCAGCTTCGAAGCTTTTCAGGTCATGGTGGAGCCAGTTGGCCAGCCAGGTCTCCATCCCGACAAAGATGTCTCCGTGCCGATCAACTGGGCCTATAACCATCACTACATGGCCCCTTGCTTTATGATTTAGAGTTTACCCGAAACTGCACTTATTCCGGTAATTTTTAGGAAGCCTAAACCTTGAACCCTAAACCCTGAGAAGCTGGCAGGTTTTTGGAATATGAAGTGGTTTGGATTTCGGAAGGTCGGGGCTAGCACCCTCCTGCTGGGAGCCCTTCAAGCAGCGCTCCTGCGAGTAGAAAAGGGGCTCCAGAAAAACTAAACCCGAAACTCCTAATCCGAAGCCCTGAGCCCTAAGCCCTAAACCTGAAACCCTAAGCCCTAAACCCGAAACCCGAAACCCTAAACCCGAAGCCCTAAGCCCTAAACCCGAAACCCGAAACCCTAAACCCTAAGAGGCCTTCATGACCGGTGCCCACTCGGAGATTCGAAGGGTGGCGGCAGCCCCAGGAGAAGTTTTTCCTGTGCTTAGGCTTGCCGATCGAAGTACGGATTCAACCCTGATGGTTTAGGGTTTAGGGTTTAGGATTTCGGGACTTAGGGTTTAGGGTTTAGGGCTTAGGGTAGTCCTTAAACCCCTAAGTTCCCTAAGCCCCTAAAGCCCTAAGCCGTAAACACTGCGGTTGCAACAGCGGGCAGCTCAAGGGTTGTTGGCATTTGTACAGATGTGATTTCCCCAATGGCAGCTGAGCCACTAAACTTCACTAAACCCCACCTCTTTGAACCCACAGCCCAACACCCTAAACCCTAAACCCTAAACCCTAAACATCCGTCCCAGCTAGGAGATCCGATGGCTCACGGGGCCAGCAGCAAACTGATTGCGGTGGATAGGCCGTCTGCTGCCTCCCGCGAGGATCCTTCCATTCCCACCTCTCAGTTCTTTTCGGAGGGGAGCCAAGGTCGCAAGCAAAACCTGTGTCAATTTTCGGTGGATGTCTTTGGATGCTTTTTGTTGTTGTTGTTTTTTTCCCGCATGTCGGTATTGGCCTCGAGCGGAACCCGCTCTGTAGGAAACAGGGAGCTGAGATTCGAGCAGATTCATGTGATGAGCCCTGCTTTGGTCCAGGAATGGCGGAGAATCCCGGAAGTCCTTTCATGGCTATCCTGAGGGCTATGCGCAGCTGATTGAGTCTCCGGACACTTGGCACATCACCCCTATGCAGATTGACACTCGCAATCGCGACTGTGGTGTCACACCTGCCAGCATCACGAACTGCACGAAGTGTCTTGGCAGTAATTTCATCAGTGTGTCGTGACCGTTAGATCAACGATAGTCTCCATTTCCATTCCTTATTGTTTGTAGGGGCGCTGCTGGTGGTACTACATGCCGTGCAGGTGCAAGATCATCATCAGAATCGTCGTCGTCATCATCATCATCATCGTCATTATTCAGTATTCTTCTGATTGCATTCACCGTCTACGCTGTTGCCAATCCAGGTTCTAGCCAACAGGGATTTGAAATGACAACGAAAGACGCGCTGGCGCCTTCCTCATCGTCGCTTGTCTCTAGCGCTGGCGACAGTGGACTGAACGGCGGAACAGGAGCCTGAGCAAGAGCAGGAGCAAGAATGAGCAGGAAAGGAGGGAAGAAGAGAGGGATGCTGACGACGGTCAATAGCGGCAGTGGCACAGTGTTCCGTAAGCATTTGAAACTAAGGAGGAACACTTAAACCAAGCGCCAAAGCTCAGCTATTAAGATAAAGCTCACGACGAACTCCTTCATCACAAATATGCGCATGACGGTTCTCCTCCTCCTCCTCCTCCTCCGCCTCATCCTCGTCCTCATCTTCATCCTCATTCATCGTCATCCTCGTCCCCATCATCATCACCGTCATCGTTAGCATCACCATCATCATCATCATCATGATCATGGCGATCATCATCCATCTCATCATCATCATCATCATCATCATTAGCATCATCAGCATTATCAGAATCATCAGCACCATCATCATCATCACCACCATCATCATCATCACCATCATCATCATCACCTTCAAAATCATGATGATCATCATCAACACCATGGTCATCATCAACACCATGACCATCATCATCACCATCATCATCACCATCATCATCACCATCATCACCATCATTATCATCATCACCATCATCACCGTCATCATCATCATCATCATCATCATCATCATCATCATCATCGTCATCGTCATCAACACCATGATCATCACCATCACCATCTTTATCGTCATCACCACCACCATCATCATCATCACCATCATCATCACCATCATGTTCATCACTGTCACCATCATCATCACCCGTATCACCATCATCATCATCATCATCGTCATTGTCATCAACACCACGATCATCATCGTCACCACCACCACCACCACGACCGCCGCCACCATCACCATCACACCCTCACTACCATCTTCATCTTCATCGTCGTCGTCATCGTTAGGATCACTATCAGCATCATCGATACCAATGGTGATTATGCTTGTGTAGCAAAGTCACAAAGTGAAATCGTTTCTGGCAAGTGTGGCATTTCGTCATCATGGCGACCGTCAAGCCGCACATGATGCTATTGCTATGACATTCTCGCAACGACGCGTTTACTGACATGGGAGGCGTCAACCAGCATTTTAAGACATGAGGAATCGCCAGTGTGTCTGGATGGGCAAGAAGACTTCGAGCCACAGTATTTGCAATACTCATGAGCAAGGGTCATGATTAGATTCGCACGATAAGCTGCCGGCCGAGGTTCACACCAGGACCCGAGCCAAAACAGGCCAGGTACGGCCTGGGTGTGCCAAAGGACACGAACTACAGCGGTATCTTGGAGTGTCCCTGCAACTCCCGGTACGGTGGAGATCCCATGTTCTACCCAGAGGCGCGAGGTAAGATGGCACTGTGCAGCTTAGAAAACTTGAAAAGTCCCTATCAAGACTGAGGATCGGCTTGGGGCAATACAGGGATCCTGTCTGCCTCAGCTCACCCTGAGGCACAGACTAAGATTGTCAGCCACAAGTACACGATCGTTGGGACAGGGGCCTGTGCGGCTGGTGAGCTGGTGGAGAACGCCAGCGACTGCTTTGCAGCAGCCACGACTTTGGGCTTAAATGCCTCCCGCTTCATAAACAAGAGCGTGGCCGATCCTGCGCTCCCGCCGGGCTGCTCTGTGACGGTGCATGGGGTTCACCTGATCATCATCAGTTTGCTAAATTAGGGTCCATTTTAGGATCTCTTTTATAAGGGTGCCGTACTATATTGGGGATTAAAACAGGGGCCTTAATTTGGAGAAATAGCCATATCCAGGTCCAGGTGAGGTCATAACATTCCCACGTTGAGATTTGGTTGAAAGAGTTCTGGCTTCTCTTGCCTCAGCGGCCCTGACTTCATAAAAGCCCGAGGTGCATAACCCCTCAATCCGAAACCCAAAGTCGAAAGCCAATCTGCCCTTAAATCCTTAACTTCGAACCCAAGTTGAAACAACTAGCCCCCAAATCCTAAACCAAAAACCCTAAACCCTTAACTTCAAGCCAAAAGTTGAAAGCTGACTAGCCCCTAAATCCTGCATCCTAAGTCCTAGACTTCAGATCCCAAGGTGAAACCTGAATCCTAAACCCTAAACCCTAAACCCTAAAGCTTCAAGCCCCAAGGTGGAAGGCAATCAGTCCGCCGTGGTCTATTTCAACACGGCCGGCCGAGGGAATTGCAGCGCCTCCTCGAAGCGCTCCGGGGAAGGAAGCTCCAAAGTTGGCGTTGCTTTACTGATTTAGGGTTTAGGGTTTAGGGTTTAGGGTATGTAGGGATTACCTATACTATTTTTGGGGTTTCTTTTATCATAACTATAATGGAATGTACCCCAAAACCCTATTCGAAGCTCCAGAGTTGGCGTGGCTGAGCTCGGAAGTAGGGGTTTAGAGGCTTTGGGGTTTAGGGGTTAGGGGTTGCTGAGCTCGGTAGTCGGGGTTTAGGGGTTTAGGGGTTTAGCGGTTTAGGGCGTTAGGGGTTTAGGGGTTTGAGGGTTTAGGGGTTTAGGGGTTTAGGGGTTTAGGGTTTAGGGTTTGCGGAGCTCGGAAGTAGGGGTTGAATATAGGGGGCCTTAATAATGACCTTTACTATTTTTTTGGGGGGGGTTCCTTATCATAACTATAATAGAACAGACGCCAAAACCCTGTTCTAGATATTAAGGCTCTTACATTTGGGGTTTAGGGTTTTTTTGGCCGGTTTTGCATTTTATTTGTGTTTGGAGGTTTTTGGGTTTGGGCTGTAGGGTAGGGTTCAGGGTTGAGAGGTTTTGTGCGCTTTTTCCATCAGCCGTCGAGGTGAAAATTGCCATTGAGGTGGACGCAACGAACACGTTCCAGAGGTCACCCGCGGGGGAGTTCTGCGAAAACAATCGCGACTGGGCTGTCGCTGTATTGTATATGACAGTCCCTAAACCCTAAACCCTGAAGTATATGACAATCCCTAAACCCTAAACCATAAACCCATGACAGTGTTGGCTCTTACGTCTTCCTTTTGTTGCGGCCTGCTGGCTGCTGTTGCTCTTCCTCGCCAGTGTTTGCTCTTTCGCGTTTCAGTATGGTCAATTTGCTATGGTGTGGTGTTGATTATTGCTCCATGGAGAGCCTCTTGTACATCCTGAAGCCAACTAACCCGTCAATAAACTCACGCTGAATCCTTTTAAACCTTCCGCGATTGATTCGCCAGTATCCTTGATGCAGAATCCTTACCTTCTACCAGTACTACCCAGAGCCCGTCATGCAAACAGGCAAGCACTTATCGGAAATCTCAACAGATTCTACAGCCTGAATCCTAAACAGACCGCAAGGCAAGGGCAAAATCCAAGCTTTCCCCATGCGGGGCTCTACGCTGGCAGCTGCAGAAGCAGCTCGCGACCAGTGTACCCAGCCGTTGGCCTAATGTTGAAGAAATACGCTGCGAATTTTGTTTGTACAAGTTTTGGGAGGGCTTTAGGGATCACGTATGTGTTGGCCTGACTTGCTTTTGTTTTTCGTTCTGCCTTAGTATACTTATTTTCAATGCTGTGCTGGCTCTGCGAGGAGTGTATTCGGCTTTCCTGTTCTCATATTTGTAGATCGCCGTTCGTGCGCAACCCACCTCCTAGTGGGATACCTTCCCGGCTTTCCGATTCTTTATGCAGTGAAGCTGTGTTATTCAGGGACCCTAACCTCTAAACCCTGAAGCAGTTTAAAGCTGTACGGCTAGAGTAGGCTTAGGGCTCATGATTCTCAGAGTGCAGGCCGATGTTGAGGCAAGCGAAGGAGGATGCTTCCGAATAAGCCCTCTTGATGGGATTTTCGGACCCTAAACATCTCTAAACCTGGGCGGCCCGGGGACTTAAGGGTTTAGGGTTTAGGGTTTCTACCCTAAACCTAAACCCTAAACCCTAAACCCTAAACCCTAAACCCTAAACCCTAAACCCTAAACCCTAATAGGGCCTCTTCTCCTCCTGAGGTTCTGCTGGGATGAAGCCAGCTGCTGGGGGTGCAGCGTGGACTGCGAGCAGGAGCCAGCTTTCCCTTCAGGGTTTAGCGTTTAGGGTTTAGGGTTTAGGCTTAGGGTATAGGGTTTAGGGTATAGGGTTTAGGGTTTAGGGTTTAGGGGTTTTGGGGTTTAGGGATTAGGGTTTAGGGCATCCCCTGCGTCTGCCTGCATTGGGGTAGTTCTGTAAATTAGGGTCCCTTTTGGGGGGTCCTTTTTGTAAGGGTGCCGTGCTATATTGGGGACCTACAGCGGGACCCTATTTTAGAGAACTACCCATTGATTGAGAGAGTGCTTGTGCCTGTGTGTGTATGTAGCTATGCTGGTTGCACTGGTACTTTGCTGCTTTTTTTGGGGGATACTTGGGTAATTTTTTTTAGCTCGCGTACGGAGACATGAAACCAAAAGGATTGAATCATGCTGGAAACCCAGAAGAATACCACGCAGGCGACTAGTTACGCAGCCCTAAGCTCAAGACCTTCAGCCCTGCAGGAGCCGTATGCCTACGGCGCTCTCATTTCCGCATGCCAGTGGAATGCCATCACCTCCTGCGGAAAGGTCATGAAGTGGTCGGGATCCATCCGAGGTGACATCAGCCGCTTGCCTCGAGCCTAAGGCCCGAGCCCTAAAACCCTTTCTTGAAGCAAGTTGGTATTTAATGAACCTGAGGAGCATTGACATGGTAGAGACAGTTAAAGTTGTGACAGATACTCTGGCTTGCCATCAGCTCTGATTCAAAAACATCCCTCATCGGCCTCGTAGCATCTGTCAGTTCTTCCCGTGCTTTCATGCATGCACAGCTGTCACTGTCTGTCCTGGATCCCTCTGGTGCGGAACTTTCCACCTACTAGTTGCGGCTTGAGTGGAAACAGAGGCGCCGCAAGGGTTGTGTCCGGAAGCAAGTAAGCGTGTTGAGCGCAAGCCGTAGACCCGTCGTCCCTTTCGCGCGTCGACTTCATAGTACAGTCAAGGTTGACATTTTTTGGTTTTCCTTCAGCCAACGGCAGGCATTCCGAAATGAATTTCTGGGGTAGCGCTTGATTCATTCGGGGAACTGGGTTTGAGGGCTTGATCTCGGTTGGGCCTTGCGAGTTGATCTTATGAGGAGGGTACGGGGTTCTGGCCGACAGCCCAATACTCCTTAACTAAGGCAATGTACCGTAGGTCATAGTATTGAGCCTTCTGCACTTTGACTTTAGGAGTAGTGCCGTATTTAGAGCCTTTGGGTGATTGGGTTCTAGGGTCAGTCGAGGTCAGAAGCAGCCGCAGAATGGCGGCGTTCGCATCACTCTCTCGGGACCCGCAGGCGGGCTGGGAGATTTTGCTGAAACTGGGGAGTGCAAGTATAGGTTGAGGGTGGAGGGTTTCGGATCGAGGGTTGACTGACTTTAGGTGCACTGTGGGTAGTAAGTACCGTATATGGCTGGAGCGCAGCTAGACTACAGGTTTTAACAAGTGACCGAGGGTGTGTATAAATAAACAAATAAATAAGTAAGTAGGTAAATAAATAAATAATAAATAAATAAATAAATATATATATATATATATATTCTGTAGTCCCTGTCCTTGAAAGATGATATCCCGAAGCCCAAGGCCCTAAACTTTAAACCGAGTTAGCTTTGGGCCTGCCGGGCTTGAGAGATTTGGATGTCGGGGTTGAAAACATCGAAGAGTGGAATAGCTCAAGGCCAGCAATCTTGGGCAAAGGACTTCGTCTAGCCTCACATCTAAGGCCCTACCGACTATAGACGCCTGGATAGTTACGATTATACTTTAATGAAGCCCAAATCCCATTCTAATTATTAAGGCCCCTACAATGCAGCCTCTTCACGGTCGGAGAGCTTTCAGTTTCATCAATGCTAGCTGCAACACGGCGGCAGGTGCATGGTTTGGTGCCGGCTTCAATGCATCCGCCATGGCCGACAGCCCTTACACCCTGGTAGCGAATGACGCCGGAGCCAGCTGTCCCATTAAGACCGGCCTAGTATAACAACGACCAAACTGGACAAACTAACATGAGCACCTCCAGATGCGCATCGGCACCAGACCTTACGTCACTTGTGGAGCTTCGTCAATCTGGGCTGAAGAGTAGGATGCCGGCAGATCTGATCCATTACTTCGTGATTCCACGAATTGATATCCCTTCCCCTTGAGGCATGAAATCATTCCTTAGCTTTCCCTGAAGCTCTAGGACATCCACAACCAAGTCATCGGTCGTTGAATCAAGCAGCTGCAAACACAGCTACCTGCTGCCTACGTATGCCTATATCTGCCACTGGGGTTTCCCCTCCAAAAACTGACACCCAATTTCCCAGATCCACCAAGAAAGGACCCTGACTTCTCTGGGTCTGGGGTCAGGGCTTTCAGCAGCTCGGTGCAGCAGTCATGAGCCGAACGAGACAAAGGTATATCCCTACAGTTTAGGGTCTTATGGTTTAGGTCCTGTGACTTCGGGAAGCCACAGCCCGAAACATTGGCGTTTTCTGTCACATCAACAAGAATCCCTACAGAGGCTGGAGCCAACGCCCCCCGAAGCCCCAACGCCCAAATAATCCCCTCAAGCCCAAGGCCCAAGGGCCCTTCGAAACTCCCGAGCTGAGGTGACAGAGAGAAAGATCGGCACCTGTGGTAGCGAGGCAGAGCACTGTCCCGGGGACCTCCTCTCGCCGAGCCTGAAGGTGCCCTGGAGAGAGCCAGTGGGGCTTCAGGCTTAAGAATGCGACACTGAGTTCGGCTTCCGGGCTTTTTGTATGCGGGCGAAGTCGTTCTGCACCCGCATGCAGCACACAGGAAAGCTGCATGACAAATGAAGCAGGGTATGCAATCTCTCTGCGTCTGAGGTGCTATCGAACTCGGTTGTGCAGGGTGTTCGCACAGTAGTGGTGTCCCGTGGCCTTGCGGGACTCACCAAGAACCACTACTCCTTCAACCCGCAGGGAGACGAGACCATTCACTTCATCACGGCAGTTGGTCAGTCGCAGACCTTTGCTTACCATCGTGCTCATGGCCCAGCGCAGGTGGCGCTGACCAGTGAAGGGTCCAACTCCTGCATCTGTGACAAAGGCATCACTGGCCGCCTTTGTGAGACAGGGGGAGTCAACTGTGCCGAGTTCGAGAAGGACTGCTAAGAGTTCAGAGTTCTTACTGCAAATCTTCCCCATGAGTAAGATGCATGTATATGCCTCTTAACTAGCTTGTTTGTTTACCTGCCATGCTCGCTTTTTTATAGCCATGCTCGCATCCTTGCGTCTCCTCTCTGGTCTTCTTTTCTCTTCCTTTTTGCCGTACCTCAGGGCCATGCTGTTGCTCTCAACTTCATTTCACTCCATTCGAGCCTGCTCTGCTTCATTCAACTCAGTGAGTTTTTCTCTGTTCTATCACTCTGTTTGCTCTTCTGTCCTCTCTCTCTCTCTCTATATATATATATATCTCTCTCTCTCTCTCTCTCCCTCTCGCTCTCGTTATTTATCTTTTTTTTTCTCTCTCTCTCTCTCTCTCTGTCTCGCTCTCTTCATCACTCTGTCTCCCCATCCCTGTGCATGTCTTTGTATTTGTACATACATATATATATACATATATATATATATATATATATTATATGTATATATATATATATATGCATGCATAATCTATAGCCCATACATGTACAGAAAGGTATAACCAACAGTGAAAGAGAGCGGGGTGGAAGCATACAGTGGTTTCATGCCGTCCTCACGAAGACGAGGACTGCGTGGCCTTTCCTGCAGGGGACCTGAAGGCTCAACGGAACCCAACGTGCAACTCGCGACAGTACGCCGGAGGCCTCAGCTGCTGTCACCATAAGCGGATTATGCTGGATGCCGACCAGGAGATCCGGCCCGAGCTATTGAGGTATCACATGAAGTTCCGGTTCTGGTTCCAGGAATACAAGCCGGCACAGACCGGAGCCAAGGCCTCCCATGCGGACCTTCCGCGCATCTACTATCAGACGGAGGCCCATGCAGGCGAGTATGACATCCCGCCTGCTTTTGCCAAGCCGGGACACCCCGTCGTGGGCTATCCCGATTGGCCTGTTGGGACTCCCACGCCAGGGACGAACTGCACTGGAACCTGCCCCGATGGCCCGGACTGCGAGTGCGTCCACACCATCACGTGCCGAGGCATGCAGTTCAGGAGAAGTCTTGATACGTGGGTTCTAGAAGTTTGCATGAGTCTAATGAAGCCTCAATGTTGGACATCAGCCAGGTATCACTGGACTGTCAGCAACATCCGCCTCATATATGCTGGAGGGCACTGTCATGCGCCCAGCTGCATCTCCATCGAGTTGTACCACAATCTCACCGGCACACCAGAGCTCCTGTGCCGGCAGCTGCCTTATTATGGCCAGGGAAACTTCCCCAAGGACTGGAGCCCTAGAGCCGGATCGTCCCAAGCCCCAACGCCCTACACACTGAACCCTAAAACCCCAAGCCCTAAGCAAGGACAAGTGGGACGAAGCCGGCTACGTAACCTTGCCTCCCTGTCTCTGGAGCGACGAAGATCCGAACCTGGACCGATCTGTTTGGTTGCCGGCCAACACACCGCTCTTCTCCATCAAGAAGTGCCTTGGACCAGCTGAGGGTCGCGGGCTCCGAGGTTAAAACTGCGGTTTCAGGGATTTGATGTTTAACTCAGCTAGAAGAGTTCTGTACAGGGGCCAACAATTTGAGCTACAAAACAAAGCCTGGAACTTCGATCTCCTATTTTCCCTTTTCCTTTTCTTCTCTAAGCATCGCGTCTTTCAACAACAGACCGACGTCCCCACAAGAGTGCTGCAGACTGCCGAGGAATAATAACACCCACCTTGGTCACTTTGGTGGCTGGGCGGAGAGAGTCTGTTGTAGGGTTAGTTAGGATTCAGAATCTAGGGCTTAGCGTTTAGGATGTGGGGTTGGGGGTCAGGTTTACATTTGGGTTGCAAGTTCCTCGTTTTCGTGACAGCTCAACCACGGGACCCCGGAGCACAGGCGAGATGGCTTCCTGGCAGATGCGCGGTGTGAACTTCCCGGCAGACCCACCCACCTTCGTCTGAGAGCAGCTACAATAGGATATAGTACATGACAGTATACTATGGTACACTCTAGTACATCACTTAAACTATAGCATGCACTATATACATAGTACATTACAGTAAACTACGGTATACTGTACCACATTATCGTTTATTATAGCACTCACATCATACTACTCTACATCATAGTATACTACAGCATACTTTAGTATACTTTAGTATACTCTAGTATACTCTAGTATACTATAGTATGCTCTAGTATACTCTAGTATACTACAGTATATTTTAGTATAGGGTGCAGAGTCACGCCCTGCAGTGAGCTTGTTGGAGCCCTGCAGGGCTCTCACGAACTCGGAGGCTCCCCGTGGGTGCTCGCGGAGGAACGTGGAATCCTAAAGTGCGCTGAACGCCTGCAGCTCACAGGATAGGGAACAATGCAGTATACTACAGTACTTTATGTTATACTATATAATTTAGGGTTCTATAGTATACTATAGTTTTCCACGATATATAGTATACTAATAGTAGATGATAGCATACTATGATGAGGACGGTTAGATGATGCTGGTGCCACTCTGTATTCGAGCTGCCATTGTTGCTGTTGTTTCTGAAGCTGCTCCTAGGCATTGTCAGTAAGTGGAGGCACCCTTGTATATCATGACATACCACAAACAAGCCGGCTTTGCAGAAACCCATATGCCACATAGAAGGCTTGGACGATTTTCTACCGTCGATGCGTTTGAGATCTGGCCTTCTCAGTAGCTTGAACCCTAAACCCTAAACCCTAAACCCTAATCCGTCAGACGTTGTTGGTATGCTGCCTCGGAGTTTGTGAGAATCGGATGCGACGTGGTGTACACAAGCTATGCATTTTTGGGTAGTCCGATCGCCTTTCAGGCGGCTCTCTGGGGGCAGTGGTGATGTTTGAAACTCACCAGCTTGTGCAAGTTTGAAAGCTTCTGAGAGCTGACCAGCCGAAGAGAAGCGAGCATAAAGGGGGGTCTTGCACTGGGCGTCGCGGCGGAGTGTTAAGGGTTTAGGTTCTGTTGTTTTGGGTTTTAAGGCTCAGGGTGTAGGGTGTTCGGCCTTCCTGTGGCTTGTAAGTACGACGTCGTCCATAGCTTTGTGCCTCTGCTGTGTCATGAAAGTCCTTCTATTCTCGTCCTTGCTACGGCGGGCGTTCCGTTTGTTGTCATTTCATAATGAGTGCTGTCGTTTCTGTTCCGAAAGGTTGCACTGTCTGATAGTGTACACTACCACAAATATCACTTTTCGATTTTGCCATTGTGGCCCTATCAATCTAAGTTTTCGCTGTTAGCGGGGCGGGCAGTCATCATCATTGTCATTTCCAGTGTTGCAATCGCGAGATGGTCTCCTTCGTCAGCATCATCCTGCTGCTCGTCATCGCAGTCATCAAAACTGTACATCGCTCTTAGCAGGTTCAGTAAACTTTAGAGCACAGTGTAACACTACCAAGTATGGTTCTCCATGCCATCAGCAGCCGCGACTTCCTGCTTCAACTGCTGCTATTATGCTGCTCATGTACTTGTCGTTACTACAGTTGCTGTTACTACTAGTACGACGACGACCACTACTACTCCTGCGACTACTGCCACAACAACAACAACTACAACAACAACAACAACAACAACTACTACTACTACTACTACTACTGTTGCTGCTGCTGTCGTTGCTGCTGATTGCTGCTGGGGGTTGGGATTTTGAGTTTCTTTGCATGATTGGGATAAAGGTCGACTATGGAAGCTCTTTTTATCATTGCCGTTGCCGCGAAAAAGACACCCTTGACGATGGGGTCTTCGTCAATATCGCGGTCTCGGTAGGTCCCTCTCAGAGACTTGTCGCCTCGCCTCCCTGCCCAGGCCCACGTGCAACTCCTGGATGCCCAAAGCCTTGCTCCGGAGGACAAGAGAGCCGTGGAGCTTAGTGTTACTGCGCTGTTTGGTTCTCAGGTTTGCCATGGTTTCACTGTTCTCCGGCAACGGGTCGTCATGATACGTTTACCATCAAGGATCTGCAGCCCCGAATTCTTCAGCTCAGATTGTGGAGAGTTGCATGGATGCTGCCGTAGAGTTTTTATGACCACTGCAGGCAGGTTTCGTGTTTCTTGACATGACTTTGCCAAAATCGCTGGTGTGGATGAAGCACACATGCTTTGACGCAGAGCAGCGGCAGAGCTGCTGGGGTCATTGTTGACGGAGCTTGGACTTTAATGCCCCGCACTGCAAGGCTTTGGGTATGCATGTATGTGTACATACATAAAGAAATAAACAAACATGCCTATATATATATATATGTACATATGCATACACAAACGCATACACACACACACACACACAACTTGGTATTTGTATATGTGGGTAGCCGGAGAGATATGTCTAACAAAGCACGTCTACGTGTGTTTGTGTGTGTACATCTGTATATGTATGTATATACATATATATATATATATATATGTAAAAAAACTAAACGTTGCAGACTGCACCCTGCGTGGATTTTCAACAGGAAGCACAGGGGTCAGTCTTGTCATGTTGCGTCATTCCTCGTCTAGTCTCAGGCTCGCTGCGGGCTTATGACCATTGTGCTGACTATGACTAAGGTTCAGGAAGAGCTGCGGAAGGTCAAGATCGAGCTGCGCCATCTGGCTTGGAGATCTTGTTGCATCGTTCCTCATGAGATTCACATGAAGGTTGGTGCACATGACATGGCCGTTGTGCATGGGTATTCACTGGCGTATGTGCCATCATGCGACATGCCGGACGCTGTAACAATCAGGATCATCCGTTTGGTGCTGCATAGAACAAGCCCGGGCTGGAGGCACAAGGTCAGAATGCAGCCCTACACCCCAACGAGGTCAAGACGGAACCTAAACAAGGTCAAAAAAAGACCCTGCCCAACAAGCCCCTAAACTCTAAACACCGAAATGCCGATTGAAAGAGAACCAACGGCCCGAATGCAGCATCTGCCGCAGAAAGCTCGTGTGTCCCCCACGGAGAAATGAGGCGCGACGTCTTCATTTCCAAAAGTTCCGTCCCCCTCAAACCAGGATTCAAAACCCCCATAAGCCCGAAGCGTTGAATCCTAAACCCGATCTCAGCTGAGGCCCTAAAGTTGGGTGCAACATCAACCAAACTAGACCCTTAAACACTAAATCCCTCCCATCCTCAATCATAAAGTCCTACACCCCGAAGCTTTAAACACCTCCTATTCACGGTTTTAGGGTTTAGGGTTTCGGTTTAGGGTTTGAGGGTTGAAGCCCCGAAGCCTATCCGCCTCGTCATGCTGATGTCGTTTCTAGCAAGGCAAGGAGGAGGAGATGCAAAGCCGCGCCAAGGCTTTAGGGGAGGATGGTGGGGGCTTGGGATTTCGGGTTGCAGGGGTTAGGTTGTAAGGTTCGGGCCTTTAGTGATCCAGGGTTCCGTGTTAAGACTTTAGGATTTAGGGTTTAGTGTAGATTGTGAGGCTTTTATGGTCCATTTGTGGTCGAAGGCTTTTTTATAGTGCGGTTGAGGTGTTCGGGTTTAGGGGTTAGGTTGTAGGTTTGGGGGCATCGGGGTTACCGAAACCCGAACCCTATGCAGCACCACACTTCTAGGGTTCATGTGTGGGGTCAGGTTGATGCAGGACTGACTCCCAAACCAGAGGCCAAGCTCCGTTCTCGGTGGCTATGTTTTGGTCGTTGCTCAGAGATACCAGGTGACGTTTAGGCGAAGTGCCAGCAGTAGGCCGGTGTGTCTACCGTCTCAATCTGACAACCCTAGACCCTCAAGAAGTCTCGAAATCCCTGAAGCCCCAGGTGTCATTGATTTTCTTTGCGCTACCCTGGCAGGTGGTGGAAATCCGGGATGGACTGAAAAGGCCTGGGTCGAGCTGAGATCTTAATCCGTACACTCCCACACCTCAACCGGTTGAACCCCGAGCCCCCACAACTGTAGACTCAGGATTTAGAGTTTCGGGATAGTTAGAATGGAGTCTTTACTTTTGGTCTTGGCAGTGTTGTTGCTGCCCCAGAACTCCTTTCAATGAGATCCTTGCTCCGGGGGTCGGCGATAGAGTCCCGGGCGATCATCTATGAACCTGAAGCTTAAACCCTGAAGCCCCCAAGCTCTACACCTTAACACCCTGAACCTAGCCCACCCCAAACCCAATCATAAACACTAAGCTTACAACTTTCGTTAACCCAACAAGGCAGCATCCAGACAGACTGTCCGCTTCAAGCCTCGATTCAGGAACCAGTCAACGAACCGAAACACCGGTACTCTGGATGGAGACCCTGCATAGATAGGAACCTCAGAAACACCTCGAAGTGTAGGTAAACCTTACCTGAAGCTGTGCCACTCATCAAACATCGTTCTCAATACATCAATGTGAAACTTCCCAAACTAAAGTAGCCTTATGCAAGCCCGCAGTTGAACATGCAAGCCCCATCCACCCGCTGCTGACCCAAACCACCTTCGGAAGAAGAGGAGACAAAGCCACCTGTAAGCCGAGACCCTTCCCAAAGTCTTACTTCCACCTCAAACCCTCGACTTCCAACTAAGCCGTTCGGCACAGGGCTCGCACAGAGGGCGCCGAGGTTATGCCGCTGCTAAGGCAGAGGACTTCTGTCAAGTAAAGCAAGAGAAGCAACAGCCCTAGTATGGGTGGAGGTGCAATCACCCTGGACATACTGATCACAAAGAGCATGCTATAGCAACAAAAGCGCTAACCAATGAATGAGAATGCGCATAGCGGAGATCGAGGAAGCATTCTAGTCCTGGCTTGCTTATGCCAGCGGCGTCGCAACCGAAGCACCACTGGTTCTACTGTCACACCTGCCGTCATGCCTTCCTGCTACTTCTGCATGTTGGCTGCTACTGGTGAGCCTTACTCCTGCTCATGCTGGTGCTGCTGCTGCCGGCAGCACTGCCAGTGCCACAACCATCTAGAACACGATGGGGAGTATGAGGCGAAGCCCGATGACGACGCCAACGACTGATTCTGCTGCTGCTGCTACTGCTACC